GATTTCAGTTCTCATTGTTTCCTTAGTGTTGCTTAAAGGTAAAACACTGTATCATATCTATTGAAATCCTCTTCACGTCCCAATAGCAACCAATAAATGAATATTGGCTGGCGTACCAGTCTGTCACTTACAGATTCACCCTGCTTTCACTGCACATAACTAGAGTATTTAGCCAGGGAGGCTCACACCGCTCAAGCAGAGACGATAATCAGTTATTGAGAGAGTCATGGAAAAGTCAGCCTATAACAGTTTTCAGGCAGTGCACGTTCATGTGTTTTAAAGCTCAACCACAGCTTTAAATCTAACGGAGTAGACAATGCAACACCCTGTACCTATTTAGAATATTTACAACTTCAATGTTTCTCCAAAAAGTTTTGGTACAAGTTTTCATATATTTTTTAATTACTATGTAATTGAAAACCACTGCTATAAATATTATTCACGCTATATATTTAAGTTGAAAAGTGAAGCATGGCTTGAAAGGCATCACAAAGACTGCAATTTACTCCCTGTCTAATCTGGGCGGAAGCACTTATTGCGGTTATTGTGTTACAGTAACACAAGTGCAATCAAATATTTTAGAGTATGTTTATATTTTTTAGACACAGCTAACTAACTCAACATTTAACAGGAAGATCTGAACAATAAGGTTCCCCAGGGAGCTGGAAGTATTTTTCACAATATTTGACTGATGTCACAATCAGGAAACAGCAGTCATTTATTTTGTGTACATAGAACCTTAGATCAAAGCTTAGCTTTTAAGCAATCCTATCTTGAGAGCATGTTATCTGCTGCTTGCTGCACACTGCAGGTGTATTTGTGGTAGCTGCATATTTTAGAATACAATACATTGTTAAAGATTAAACCAGTGTCTCCAATCTTAGTCAGGGTCACATTTCAGATGCCCATTACTTGTTAAAGGTCCAGTGTGTAAGATTTAGGTGAAGGGAACTATTGGCAGAAATCTTATGTAGAATAATCCTCATGATGTTTTCACTAGTTCGTTTCATCTAAATTGTATGAATTGTAGTTTTCTTTACCCCAGAAAAGGCCCTTTATATTGAAATACTTTATATTTACATGGAGGGGGTCCTCTCTACAGAGGCCGCCATGTTTTTTACATTAGTCCAGACTGGACAAACTAAATACCTTTTGAGTTTTTATGACAACTGAAGCTACTACAGGTTCTTTTTCATGTATAACATTTTTCTATATTTCACTTCTTTCCTGTCCTATTTACTATCTAACCAACCATATGATTTATAAAACTGTACATAAAAGTGTAGCACAAAGTAGCAGCTGCTCCAGCAGATACATCAGTAGCTCACACCCTGGTGCCTCAGTATTAATCATCTAATTGTCATACATTAGTCAGTGAGACCAAACCAGTGTTATGTTTACTTTTGCTGGTTATACTTTACTTGCATTATCTTGAAGTGCCTTTTCTTAAATTATTATTAGATAAGCTATAGCTTAAAATGCTCAAAACAGTTTAAAGTCAATTACAGTTAAACATTCATCTAAAAGTAATGGATTAATAGATTTCTGAATTAAGTTTGATGTTAAATACGTGAAACAGTCAGTTTCAAATGGCATGCAGATCCACTTTAATATCACCAGTAATATTAAATGACATCCAGTTTAATATCAGTTGAATTGAACATATTTGGAACATGGTGCAGATGTTTAGGTGTATTTGAATGAATCTGGCTGGACTGAAACCTCTGGTGGAGTTGACAGTGGTGCAGGTTTCAAAAATGAGTCACCTCCCTGTATGGAAAACAGACTTCCTGCATGATCTCATCTGTATGATCTGATCCCATTTCCAGCCCAGCCTTGTTTTACAATACCTTAACAACAGTGTCTCAGCCTGCAGCGCGTCTGCAGTGTTTTCAATGGCTCAGTCTGAATCCCTTCATTTGATGTGTACACAAACCCACGTAGACACACACAGAGAGTCAAGCTTATCATGTTATGGTGTGCAAGGATCTGGGAGTCTGGGATTGTTTGGACTAGTGTCTCAAGATTTCTTGTCTTTGTCTGACTGTCGCACAGAAGTTATACGAGTTTCCCTTTATCTTTTTGTCGTTATTGTGTGTGTGTGTTTGTGACAAAGTCTTTGTTCAAGAACATTGATTTTCTGCATTCAACTAGCCTTCACACTACGACAATCATTGTTTTATATTTCTTATTGCCTTTACCTATACATTTACTTTAATTATACATTTAGAACCATATTAATGTATGCATGTATGCAGTGTATCTATTTTAACAAGCAGACACATACAAGGCATCCCAAACCACACTGGCCACTTACAATCAACAAGTCTGATATTTCAAAAATCTAAAAAGACAGAATGCAAAACTTTACTATCAATACAATAACAAATCATACAATCATTATTAAATGAGTGTTCTGTAGAGCACATACCTCCACCAAGGCCCAACACTCCCCTTGTGAAACCACGTTCAAATGCACTAGATCCTGACGCCAAGATCTGTGAATTACTGTCCGAGAAATCAACGCAAATGTGTGGAAACATTCGCAAAGTAAAGTGGATTCCAGGATATACAGTAAGATTCTAACTCTGAAGGGGACCATGGCCCTCTCATCGTGACTCTGATTAAGTTGAAATTGAACTTGTTTGACTGTAAAAGTCCTCCATGATGGATTTGTTGCTCATTTGTACACTGTGCAAATTGTAAAATGCTAGTGCAGATATATATGAATGCAAGATTGGTGAAAAAAACATGTCTGCCATCCACTTTGCATAGGGCAATTGAGACTTAAGAAAAAAAAAAGTGAAAAGAATCCTTTTGATGAGGTGTTGCATTGATACACAAAAAACGCAATAATACAGATTTATTTGGTGTCAAAATGAAATAACCAACTACGCAACGTCTGTGTGTAAGAGTGTAGTGATTGGCATGACTTCTAAATTCTCACAGCAGATGAATATTTGACAAAATCTCAACATAACTCAGCCCTCTGGCCAACAGGAACTCCACTTCTCTACTCTGTGCCGCCTGCATGACATGTTAATTCAGTCCTTCTCACTCTTTGGCAGAGGTCAAAGGTCACGTCATAAGAGCAGTATGAGTGCGAATGCTGCTTTGTTCTCTCCTGCAGTTCTGCAGTTGTCTCACCTAAATCTCTCCCATGTGTACACATATATCCCGTATGGTGATTTCTTTTACAGGTACAAACACGCACCTTCCCACTCCTCTCTCTTTCTTTTTACTACCCTGTCATGGCACCAGAGCTGCCTCAGAGTTGTACGGTCCATTTTCATTTGACAGAGAGTTTGAGATAAAGATATTGAGACCAGCCTTCCTCTCTATGCTAAAGATAAAGCTGAAGGCAACAGCTAGGTAACCTGAAGGCCAGGTTTAAAAACAGCTTTCAAAGTCGGATCACTGCGCAGTTCACACTACACTGCTTGCTGTCTTATGATTGGGAGTCTTGCAGTTGTTGTGACTGACTGGTAAAAAATCAGGGGGCACCTCATAACTACATGTACCTTCACCACCTTCACCCGTCCTGAGCTCTGATTGGATGGGGGTAGCCAGAGTTTTTTATGCCGACTCACACTAGATTTCCAGCAGGTTAGAAATCAGATCGGAGTCTGCGACATGCTGGGACGAGCTCTTTAATCGTGTCTTTGAAGATTTCACACATAGCGAGTGGCGACTGCCGTTCGGTGTGGGCTTTAGCTTTGCACTGTGACTTGAAACAAGGGTAATCAGTTTGTCTGCTTTTTCTAACAGTAACAAAGTTATGTTTGCTACAAGCATAACAAAAAGTCAGTATATATTATTGTGCATCTTGTTTTTAGGTCTATTGAAATTTAAAATAATTACATCACATCTTTATCTCTCCTGCTCTACCAACTGCCCTCCTTTAATACTTCAACTCGTATGTGTGCAAATTGAACATATACAATTCATTCGTGAGCTGCATCAATCTTGTCATCTATCTATGAACCATGAAACTAAAAAGAGTATCTATATAAAGAGTATATGTCTTACCAGTCGACTACAGTCTCCAGAAAGTTTCTCCTATTTTTAGATCTTGACTAGATTTAAGAAGTTTAAGTTTTATATTTGCGATTACATCCATACTACTACATCTCAACTTTGCCCCGGATACGCCTGCAAGCACACTACTCCTACAACTTTTAGAGCCACCAAAACAGAAGTTTAGAAATGCTGCTAGCTTTGTTTTGCTTTGCAAACTTGGGTGTAGTTTTAGTATGGACGGTCAGAAGCGGAGATGTTTTGTTCGCCTACAAAATGCTTCCTATTTGCACCAGCACATGCACGCCCAGTGTATGACTGGTCACTTGATATGCGTTTCTGGGCATGTTAGTATGGATAGAGACGAAAACTGATACAGAGTCAAAACTCTCTTGTGGACAGAGATCGTAGTAGACAGTAGTTTGGATGCAGCCTCGGTACAGAGGAGAAATGGTGGTCAGAGTGGAGAAGAAGCTTTTCGGCTCCTCTTGCCAAGTGCCACCAAAGTGCTGTTGTGAGGGTGAAGCTCTGTGGCCTAGTTTACCCCAAACAATCTGTCCCTCCTCATCTTCTGTCTCTTCCTCTGTTAACCATCTCTACTTTCTCTCTGGCTTCCTCTGCATCTCTTGCCCTTCACTCTCCCTTCGTGTCCAGAAGAAAGGGGTGGTGCATTCCAAAAGCCTGGAGACCATTCCCCTCTTTCAGCCAGTGGCCCACAGAGTGACAGAGGAATTAGAATAAGAATAGCTGCCCATTCACCCCAGTGCCCCAGTGACGAGTTGGAGGGAGCGAGGGAGGGCGAAACAGAGGGAGCCGGAGGGAGGAGAGGAATGAAGGTGGGGGGGGGGTCCCGCAACATACCGTGTTCCCATTGGCCGCTGGTGTTCCCTCTGTTTTTACATCGCTGCCGTCAGTTGTGCTTTCAAGTTTGTTTTACGCATTCTGGCGCACATACACACCGCACATGTGCATGCATGCGTAAATATACACATTGGGGTCCTGGGTTTGCACACATGCACACTGGAATACGGGAATCTACACACACACACACACACACACATAGACGCTGTCAAGCAGCATTGGCCTGCAGAGACAGAGTGAGCAAATCTGACCACGCAGTGCAGTGCAGAGGAGAGTGAGGTGTCCTGTGGCTGTGTGAGTATGAAGCTGAAATCATTTATTGCCAAGTATGGATTTATAATGAACATTATACAGTGACTGTTACATTGTCATCTGTGTCTCTGTAACAGAAGGTGAAGTCTCTTGTGTTTTCTTGACTAATCCACTCTTGTTTGGATCATAATGCGACCTTGTGCTGTCACCACCGCTGTGGTTTGCCTGTGACTAAACTGTAAACTTTTTACTATGTAGCTGTTAGAATGTAACATTGGTGCAGCAAGTGGTTTTTCACTTCCTTAGCAATGGAATGTGTCAAAATACACATTTCATCTAAGAATGATTCTTACCATCATGTCTCTGAGTTTTTCGTGTGAAGCAGGAGGGTGATCTTGTTGTTATATTCTTGTTTTAAATCATATGCCAGTCACATCATCTCCAGAGCTCTTCATTAGCGAAGAGGCTTCAGGGCTCTCTCAGATGGGATACGTGCAATGAGGGTCCCCTTTGCACTGGGGCTGTAGTGGTAAAAAATAGATGCATCACTCTATCTCAATGTCTCTACTGTCAGATGACGAGATATACCTACAGTCTTGATTCAAACAATATTTGTATGTATAGTCTGAACAAGTGAACATTTAACTTAAAAATTAAATCAGTATTTTGTGTTACTCCACTGATCATAATTTAACCTATACTGCTGTGCATCACTAAATATATTCATGGGGTAGAATTCATTCCTTTCTTGATCAGGCTCAAAATCAAGGCCTTCCATACGAAGGTTCAGTAGAGGGGTATCAGAATTGTGGGGTAAAAGGCAAACATCACTACAAGGATCAGAGATCATACACGTAGGAACTGAACTCAAAGGTGTCAAGACAAACATAAAACACTCAGAGGCTGCGTGTGAAAATCACTCGCTAATCACCCCACTAAAGAGTGAATTTGCCATTTTGTAGTGCTGTCTGAATGTTAAGTTATTTTTCTATAGCCTGTACTAATTGTATCCCACAGTGTAGTGTGAAAAGTAGTGTACAACTGATGGTCACTAACCGAGCAATATTTACCATCATGCATTGCACTCGTGGAGTTGACAGAAAGAAAAATAGGGGAGAAATTACAGAAGAAAGGGGAAGTACATCTCAGCTTTCTCTTTCTGGTGATTTTTTAGCAGGTCCCATTGTGTAGTTTTCAATATTCCTCGTAACTTGAACATGAACGGTATTTCATCAGTTGAATCCAGTGAAATCCTCGAATCACTCTCTGTTTGTCTTCATCCTTTACCTCCTCTAAGTCTTGAATCAGTCTCACCCTCTTTTCTCTGATCATGCTTTGTTACACTTTTACATCCTGCTTGTTTTGTTGTGTTTCCTCTTTGTATGTCCCTCTCTAGAAATATAAAAAGGGCTTATTTTAAATCTCTGACAGTGAAGCAAGGATTTATTGAAATGGACAATCCTTTTATCTAACAGCCTTGTATCTCAGCAATTATATGAACTTCAAAACCAAAAGTTGTGCTGCTTAACATAGGATGAAATCATTTTGCTTTCATTAACTTTGCCACTGCAAATTGCTTTTGAATCCACTCTACTGCATCAATGTTTGGTTTCAGTCAAATACAAAACTACAAGTGCGTTCCAATTTAGTTGTCTGAAAATGATCAGTGTCCAGGTGGGTGAACCACAACGAAAGTTCTGTGATGCTTGTTTTATTTTTGTCAGAGAGCATCAACAGTGATTAATTATTATTATTATATTTTTCCTGTCTTGCATTCAGACCATTAAGGCAGCTGGAAATATCAGCAAGGTAGTCTTGGAAGTCATTTTTTATACATTTTTGTAGCTCCCCGCTTTTTTCCAAAAGTACGAGCCTCATCTCGTCTTGCAGATAAAGAAATAATAACGTTTTCTCTGTGAAACCATTGAATTTCTTCCTGTTCAAGGACTAGTGTCTGACAGAAGCTGATTATATGTTGTTGTGTCCAACTAGACAAATTAATTAACATATCGTCATATTTTTAAAAAGAAGAATCAACATATTGGGTGCTTTTACTTCATATTAACTTATTTTAAGTCCATTCCCATGACCTCTTTGTGATTCTTTTGTGACCCTCCAAAGGGGTGGGGGAGATCCGACCCCTATGTTGAGGTTTATGGCAATATAACTCTGGTCAAAGGCAAACAACTCCAAATGCAGCCTCAGAGACTTGATCAGGCTCAAAATCAAGGCCTTCCATACGAAGGTTCAGTAGAGGGGTATCAGAATTGTGGGGTAAAAGGCAAACATCACTACAAGGATCAGAGATCATACACGTAGGAACTGAACTCAAAGGTGTCAAGACAAACATAAAACACTCAGTGGCTGCGTGTGAAAATCACTCGCTAATCACCCCACTAAAGAGTGAATTTGCCATTTTGTAGTGCTGTCTGAATGTTAAGTGATTTTTCTATAGCCTGTACTAATTGTATCCCACAGTGTAGTGTGAAAAGTAGTGTACAACTGATGGTCACTAACCGAGCAATATTTACCATCATGCATTGCACTCGTGGAGTTGACAGAAAGAAAAATAGGGGAAATTATAGAAGAAAGGGGAAGTACATCTCAGCTTTCTCTCTCTGGTGATTTTACTCCTTATTCTTATCAAAAATATTATCACAAGGTTATATGTTTAAAGTTGCAGACATTTTCAAAGACCTATATTAAAATAGTTTGTTTAAACGTGGTCATTCAACAGGCATTTTATGTACAAGTATTATAAACATTTAAAACTTATCATGGAATTTTTCACCGGTAGACATTGTTGTTTCCCGTCATAATCCTGTGTAATGACGTAATTACTGATCCGAGTAGTGAATGAAAGCATCTTTTTCTTTTGTCGATGAGCTCACTATATAGTCTGCTACATAGAAGACCTTATATAGTGAGTAGGAAGTAGTGAATGAGTGAGTGAATTCGGACACAGCCATTGAGGCTAAATACTAAAAGAAGAGTGGAGACAACGAGACATGTTAGACACAGGAGGGCAGGTGTGGGTAATCAAGAGAGCGGCAAACATGACCACGAGGGAAGTAACCTAAAACGAGACAAAATGTGAGAATCAAAATAAAACAGGAAACAAGTGAGATTTAAATATTGTACATTTTAAGAATGTGTAAGTAATGAAATAGAGGACCAGATGAGGTGTGTGATCAGGTTGCAGTCCATACCAGACTGCAGGACCAGTGTTAATTATAACACTGACTTAAAGGTACAGTGTGTAGAATTTTGTAATATCTAGTGTTGCAATTTTATGTTGCAGCTGAACACCCCTCACCTCACCCTCTCCTGCACATGAAAGAGAACATGTGGTAGCTTCAGTTGTGATAAAAACTCAAAAGGTGTTTAGTTTGTCCAGTCTGGACTAATGTAAAAAACATGGCGGCCTCTGTAGAGAGGGTCCCCTCAATGTAAATATAAAGTATTTAAATATAAAGGGTCTTTTCTGGGGTAAAGAAAACTACAATTCATACAATTTAGATGAAACAAACTAGTGAAAACATCATGAGGATTATTCTACATTAAATTTCTGCCAATAGTTCCCTTTCACCTAAATCTTACACACTGGACCTTTAAGAGATGTGACAGGCAATTTTTCTTAAAAATCATACTGCACATGCACAGTACCATGTTAATATGAGCAGGAATAAACAAGTAAAACTACCTGTTTGAATAGTGATGTAGGAAAATACAATGTCATCCTTGAAGGTAGAGGGTAATATGAGCACCAACAGTTGCTTTACACAGGCAGTCAGGATACACATTCATTTAGGCTGGTACAGGCATCTAAATATGAAGCTGCCAGTTTTGAGTGAAGACTGCACCAACGCTGCCCCTGGTGTGAAAGATGGACTGCCCACTATGATGACAGTGTTACTGGGGTGTTTTACTAGATCACGATCTACTTCTTTGTCTCACTCAGTATTTGTTTGTGTCTGCTTGTTACAGCCAGAGACAGCTCGGTGTCCATGCATCCAGACATCCTGATGATCATCATGACTGTGCAGCTGAGCCTCCTCATGCTGGGTGAGTTTACAAACCAATACAATCAATGCATCACCTGTCATTCTGTGTAACTTGATGTTAGCGGAGCTTGGTTTGTTTGTAAAAGGGTTTGTGAGCATGCACTGCAAGAGAACTCGAAGACAACAATGTATTTTTTATCCCTTCAATCTGGACTGTAGACTCGTTTTCCACTGCTGAGTGGAAAATGTAATCCAAGAGAAGCCTTACTAACATTTAGAGAAATTTACTGAAATGTCATGTGTGTAATTGAGGTATCCATTATCACTGCTGGCTTCTTCGTATTACACACAGGGTGAGTTGTACTCCCTTTGGTGATCTTAACATTTCTATCTGCTGCCAGCAGGTTAAAGTGAAACCTGTCTAGTACATTGATTTGTAACACAACTGATGACATTTTGTCTTTAGTGCTAAGTGGCTAATGACACAACAGCTCCCCAGGATGTGAATCATTATTGTCATTGTCATTATTGCCTCCTGGTGGCTGGCTGTAGTATAGGTCATAAACCCTGTCTCCTCCATGTTAGATGATGGGACATGAAACGGCATCACATAGGACTAAATAGTTAAAAAACATTAAAATTTTCTGGGGGGGGGGGTTAATTATTCAATTAATGCTATAAAAATGGGGTGAAAAGACATGGTTGACAGCTGAGACTGACTAGCCAAGGGCCAAGCGTGTGTATTGGTGGGATCTTGCTAGAGTGCGGAAGTCTTCATTAAGAGATGGCAGAGTTCATTTCCAGGATGTTATGGCTTCATTTCTGGATAGTGTTAGGAAGTGGGGACGTGTCGTCCTTCTTTATATACAGTCTTTGGTGCGGCAAACAGAAGTGAACTACAGGGACAACAGTGAACCATAGAAATAAATAAAGACGAGGCTACATTTTACCAACGATCAGTCATTCTAAGAAACATCGGAGCCGCAGTGCATTGGAATTTACAGTGGTTACTTTTATGGGACAAAAAGAAGAATCCAAAAGATACGTGTGGGTTGTTTATGCTTCTCTGCTGCTGCTACTTTATCTTCCCTGTAAAAACAAGACAAAAGACAAGCGAACTGTAACCACACAGCAAGGACACATTCTTTTTTTTCAAACCAAATGCTCCCTCAGTGGTGAACATGTTTGTCTCATCACAGTGTCGTCTCATTCTGAGCCTGAGCCCTGTTGTCGGGGTTGTTGCAGGTTTTTGCTTTAGCAGACTCCCATCTAAGGGAAATCCTCAGTGACTCTACTCTCCCTATGTCACTAGGTGTAATCCATTATTGTTTCATGTATGCTTCTCACAGGATTGAGCTGGTACCATGACTGTTTGCACTGGATTGTGTTTCCTGCACAGAACAAAAAATGGATGTCTTAAGTGCAATATATGGAGCGGGATGGTAGAGTGATGGGCAGCCCCGGAGAAGCGCCCTGCGAGCAATTGGTTTGGTGCCTTGCTCAAGGGCACCTCAGCAGTGCCCAGGAGGTGAACTGGCACCTCTCCAGCTACCATTCCACCTTCCATACTTTTTAGTTCATGCTGGACTTGAACCGGCCACCCTCCGGTTCCCAGGCCAAATCTTTTCAAAATTCAATCAAAATGATGTCATAAGTGATTGGCCGACATAAGACTCCATGGCTCATTTAATGACATGTTCTCTGGTGTCCTTCCACTGACTCTGTGTGCGTCATCTTTCACTACTGCTTTGGGTTTGGGGCTGGGGTCGCGTTGACATTGGTTCAAACAAATGAAGACATTTTTGCTTTGTGGCTTAATCTTTAAGAAAAACGCTGGTGATATCCCAGGTTTTATTTTTACTGTTGCCATCATATTCCATGAAAAGATGAAAAATGTTTTAGTGACTTCTGTTTCCACTGACTTCTTACATTTTTCTACATATATTCTTTGAATTTTTCAATGTCAAGAACTATGTCATTTACTTGAACAGCCATCCATTGTAGTTTGTTTTTAAAGTTCTGCATTTGTGCTTGTTTCAGTGATGTATTTGATGCACTAGTATGAATTTATGTCTGTCACTGTTACAGTGTTTGGACAATAATTGAACTCTGTGGCACTCTGTTGATTCATGGATCTTGATGAAAAAAGTCAGATGTATTTAGGGAACTGGTTTCAATGAGTATGTGGAATTTAATGCAACTTAATTGAATTTAAGGAACCATTAGCAGATATATACAATCTAGTTTTTCATTGGATGTATCGAGCGTCATAAAAATATAGACAATCATTAGTCCGTAGTCTTTAATGAAGACATTCTATATTTAAATCAATCAAATTCATGTGAATAAGGATCTTCCTTTTAAACAGGGTGAATTATTTTCAAGTTATTATTTTTACATGTTCAATAAGGGGTTGTTTGTACTTAGTTGCACATTTTCTAAGGATGAACAAATGAGGATTTTTCTGCTGCCACTGTCTACTGTCCGACTTCACTAAACTGTGCTTAAACCTGTGAGCCCTGTCACAGTGAGAAGTTTACTGTGTTATTACAGCCCAATACACCAACAGTCCAAGAATATATTTCACCTAGTTTCAAATTCACGTCAAGGGCATGTTTGTGTGTGTGTGTGTGTGAGTGAGAGAGAGAGAGCAAGAGAGTGAGTCAGAAAGACAGTCTAAGAGAGAGTCCATCTATAAAAAAAGTACTTTTTCTTTTATACCGAGAGTACTCAGAAAACAGTGTGATTGAAAAAATGGAAACATTTTAAGATGCTGTAGTGTCTCTGTTGATTTAAAAATTCAGCGGAGCATCTCCTGATGTTGCTTCTGCGGTGGTCATTTAAACCTGGTTCATTAGGTCAGGTCGTTGGGAAACTGAGTGAGAATCTGGGGTATTTGTGGAATGTGTAGTAGATGACGGGCTACTGACAGCAGAGCTGGATCTGAGGTAGCATGGGCACAGGGTTAATTGGTGATTGAGGGGCATTTTTCAATAGGGCCACACACACACATGCACACACGCACACACACACACACACACACACACACTGCATGTACACACACTGTTTAATGTCTATGTTTAACTGGCAGGATTTTAGCCTGGCTCACCCTATAACCCATGTGTTTGAGCTTCTCAGGAGACTTAACAGTGATTTTATTCAAGCTATAGAGAAAGACCTTTTCTGGCCACCCACACACAGAAATGGAGACTGATTAGACTTGCTTTTCCTAACTGACCTATACACAGGCATCTGGGTCAACTTGTATAATAATTATTAACTAGAAGAAGCCTTTATTCATGTGTGCCTGTGTGTGTGTGTGTGTGTGTGTGTATGTGTGTGTGTGTGTGTGGGTGGAAACAGTCAACCTCAGTAATGACAAGCTTGCGTTCAATTCCAATTGCAATACTAAACGGGTCAATTTGCATAATCACCATCATTGTCCCTCACAGACACTCTGCTGCAGGCTCACAATCACAGACCTCTAGTGCAATTTTATATAATTCAAATACCTCAATAACCTCTTTGGCCTCAGTTAATGCTCCACCTTCAATCCACCTAACCCCATTAATCACATTAAACGTAGCCTTGGTACCTAGTCAATCAATGTAAAGCCTGTCTCCAGAAACCTATGAGTTCTGTTTGACCAAACACTCTCTTACTAACCACAAACTAAAAAGGTTGTGCAGTCTCTCTTCCTACAAATCCGAACCATCTCCAAAATCAAACCCATACTTTCACACCCAGACTTGGAAAAAGTAATTAACACACTAGTTTCTCTCTAGACTGGACTAGTGTAACTCCCTCCTCTCTGGAATAAGACAAAAGTCACTCTCTTGCCTCCAACTAGTTCAGAACGCAGCAACTAGGCTTCTCACTAGTCTTAAAAGGCAACATCGTATCACCCTGATCCTTGCTTGTCTCCATTAGCTCCCTGTTCGTTTTATAAGAAGATTTTACTTATCACCTTTAAAGCATGCATGGTCTGGCCCCAAGCTACATCACAGAATTGTCCACCTTCTTAGGTGCCTGCACGCAGCCTTAGATCCTCAGGTGGAGCCCTGCTGGCTGTTCCAAAGTCAAAGTTTAAAACTAAATATGAGCTTTGGAACAGCCTGCCTGAGGAGATAAGGCTTGCAGAGTCAGTGACTTCTTTTCTTAAAACCCATTTTTATAGACTTGATTTCATGTGATGTGTTTTTACTGAGTTTTTCTTTTCACCTTTTATTTTCCATTTTCCACCTCGTTCATTTGTTTTTATTGTCATATTACTGCTTTTATGTGTTCAATTTTTCATGTGACATAGTTCTAAATGTATTAATTTAAAGGAATTGTTCTCCCAAAAAGGAAAATTCACTTACCACTGTGCCGATGGAGGGGTGGGTGAAGAGTTTGAGTCCACAAAACAAGAAAAAATACCCTAACCCTAACCCATAAAATGCCTCTATACTGCTCCTGTGGTGTCACCCATGTGTTCAAAAGCCTCAACATTCAAATTCGACTCGAAACGCTGTCATTTACCCAATGTTTTTAGTGATCCACATGCGAACACGGCTCCAGAGGATATCAGAGGTATCCCCTGAAACTCCAAAAGGGTTTTTTGGACACACAAAACATAAAAATCGGTTACAGATGAGAAACACTTTCTGCTGAGGCTGCAGGTAATTGAGTCTGAAACTGAAGTCAGTTTCATCAATCCATGGAGCCAAGCTGTCTTCTGTCAACAGTCCAGGCTGCTGTGATGGTGTCAGGAACATCTCGTCATTATGAGCCCTTTGTACCAACCAGTCATGGAGTATTGCTGCTGACTTTGTTTATCTTCTTACAGCCTCAGAAGAAGCCATCTTGTAATGGGTACTTCCTGCACGATAATGCTCAACGTGCAAAAGTCTCAAACTGGTTTCATGAACATGACAGTGAGTGTCACTACTTCAGTGCCCTCCTTAGTCACCAGCTGTCAATCCAGCTGAACCAGATCTGGGATCTTTTTTAAAGATCAGGGGCCATAAAGGGGACACAGTTAACATAGAGGGGCCAATTATATGTCCAGCATCCATGAAC